ATACTAAAATAAAATATTTAATACGATATCGGTACGAACTAAATAGTGTATAGGTTAACACTAATTTAGAATGAGATGGGGATTTTGGGAGGGAGGGACGGAGTAGTCACATGTATTGGTATATTGGAAGTTGACGAGTTTGACTCTGACTGGGCCCTTAATAAATATTGGCTCCGCCCTTCACTCCTTCCTCTGCGGTCTGCTCGTACGTCAGTCGGGGAATGAGGATTTAAATTCCACTTTTAAAAGTGGAATGTGTATTACTCCGTACTTTAGTTTGTAATTATTTCTTTAGTTCTCTTTTTTTAGTTACATTTGAAAATTTCATTATTAATTAAATAAAATTAATATAGATATTTATATAAAATAATTTTATTAGATTGATTTTATATAACACTCTTAAAATATTGTTTTATTTACTATTTATTTGTAGATAAAAATATTGCCTTGGTTTCCTGTAAAAATTTAAAACTACTCCCTCCTTCCCCAATTTGATTACAAATTGCGGGTTACAGAGTAAAATTTCTTACTTTTTGAAATCATTTTATTTACAAATTGGTATATTAATAAGATATAAAAATTACATATTAAAAAACTACGTCAAAATTTTTACAAAACAAGAGGTAACAAGAATATTTTATTTTATCAAATACTTAATGAAATCGCATAAACAAACAAAAGTTATCGAGGAGAGAGAAAAAAAATTGTAATCTATTTAGGGACGAAGAGAGTAGAAAAATATTCAGAAACGTAAATAGTGACAGATACTCAGGGTAGAAACATATCCCTATTTTCTACAATATATTTATACCATCTTTGTTCCAATTTTTTTTTTACACTTTTCAACTTTTCCTGTTTCAAAAACTCTTTCTATTTTCTATTATCTCATAAACTCTTTCCTTTTTTATTAAAACTTACTTTTACAACTACTAATTATTATTCTATCTATCACATCATACTTTTTTTACTAATAGTATATCTATCGCATTCTACTTTTATTCATCATATCAAGGGTATTTTTAGAAAGTCAACAGAAAAATACTTTTCACTTAAATTTCATAAAAATAAAAATAGGAACATCTTTATGGGACAAAGGAAGTAATATAGATGTCCCAAAAAAACACCTTAGTCTTACTTTATTTCCTATTTTGGCAATAAATATGTGACTACCAACAATTTTCTCTCCTTTAAACAAATTTAACCACATATTCTTCTTAAACTTTGTAAATTAAAAGTGTCAAGAATTTTATGAGACAGAGGGAGTAATAAATATAGACATTTTGCCATATTTTGGTGACTGAGAAAAATAGTGTCAAAACTGATATATATATCTCAAACATATTAAGAAGAGTAATATTATTCTATAATGTTATTTATTAGTACTTTCTCCGTCTACCTTTACAGTAAATTTTTTTGAATTTGTTGTCCGTTCGAAAAATTAATAATTTATACTCCCAACTTCCACCCGAAATCGCCGATTGGCTATAATGTTATTGTAGCCAATCAACGCCACTGTAGCTAATCGACAATTTGGGGAGGAGGGTTGTTGGGGTGGGGAGGAGGGGTAGGGGGTTTTAGGAGGGTAGGAACTATCATTTTTCGAACGGAGTACCGTAGGTCATTATTGTCATAATAATATATTATACTCTCACCGTCTCATATTAAACTACATGTTTACTATTCACATGATCGAGCTTTCGTCATTTTCTTTATCTATTTTTGTTAGTAATTTGATAAAATAATATAATCATGTACCTCTTATTTTGAAATTTTTTTTGATTTAGATTTTAAATATGTAATTTTTTTTAAAGTCAAACAATGTTAACCAAAATAGCATTATAATTTAGCACGGAGCTAGTATACGTAAAAGACAGATTACCATCCAAAATATATAGCGAGTATTTCTCTATGCTTATAAGTCATTTTTAATTTATAAGTGATTTGTTGACGTATTTTTCTGTGTTTATAAGCCGAGTTATAAGCCACTAATAAGTAAAAAAGTAGGTCTTACTTACTCTCTCCGTCCAAAAATAATAGTCATTTACAAAACTATCTATAATCGTTTCTTAAAATTTCTAAATGACTAATATCCCATTTAAATCACGTAATTTACAAAAAAGGATTTCAATAAGTTGCTTATGCGTTAGATATTCATTATTAACAAGTCAATAAGACTTTTCTTGATAGTGATTTACTTGTTGGCAATTCAAGTAATTTTTACAAAAACTTAAAGTAAAAAAAAAAACTTATACCTTCTTCTCTATAATGATGTTCTACATGCAAAATAATGGTGGAGAAAAGCAGAAGTCGACATGATAATACCGAAAAAAGCTACCACTCAAAGCAAAAAAGTCAGGCTTTTAGAAGCATCAGACTGCCAAATACCCTCAAAAGTGCTCATGGCTTTTTACAAAAAAAAAAATAAGGGTGATTTGTGATTATTGAGGGAGGGAAAGATGATAATAGGGAAGTGCACGAGTATGTAGTATGATGATGGGAAGAGGAGCTAGCACATGGTTGTGTCTCTAAAGAGAGAGAGTGTGACAAAGGGAGATCTAAAGTTGTGCCAAAATGAGATAGCGACTTCCAATCAAACTTTGGTCCGCCAAATTAACGTTAAGTATGTGATGATGGGCATGGACAAATAATTGGGTTTGGGTCCAGCCCGGGGGGGAACGCGGTTTCGCCAACAACTGGCATCCGGGAGACACTTGTTTGGTAAAGCCTATTGATGGAGAAGAGATTTGGGAGGGGAGGGCCTAAACTCCAAGTGCTAGGCGGTGGCGCTTAAGCCCTTTGAATTTTGTTAATCCTTATAGTTAGTGATCATCATGATATGGTGGTACATTGACATCAAGGATGGCATGAAGGTTGAAAATGATACTGAAATGGTTAATATGCCATCGTGTCTCTTCAAAGTCTCATCGTTGATCATCTCCGTCACGGGCATAGCGAAGAAGGCGAAAGTCCCCTAGGACGTCTGGCTACTTATTTGGCTTGGGTCGACTGACTATAAGGCTCTCTGTGGTGCCTCACGGGCTTCTTTCAATGATCATCCTTGGCATTTCCACAGCACCGCAGATCACATATGAACACCGCCCCTTTTTCTGTGAGAGCTTGGCGTGAGTGATGGCGAATAGAGCAGTGGCCACGACCATCGAAGAAAGGAGCCTTTGTTTTTTTATTGTAAAATCATTTCAATTAATTTTTCTACTGCAACGTCTATTTTATTCATAGCTTTTTATACATATCTTATTACTTGATAAATAATACGCTATCAGAAATCTTTTCACAAAACCTATTCAATGGCACCAATATTACAAATGAGTATAATTTTTTTATTCAAACACTATCGAGTTAAACGAACTGTGTTTAATAGTAACGATATGAGTTCTGAAATTTAAAATCAAAACATTTAGAGAAAATTTAAAATGATACTCCCTCCGTCCTGGAGTATTTGTGCACTTTTGATTTTTTTGGACAAAATTGGTAAACCTTGACCCAAAATTAAATAAAAAATAATATTAGATATTAATAAAAAAAATAGCTTTTTTAGATTTTTTATATAAAATAATTTCAAAATATTATTTTATCTAATTAATATACAATATATATTTTATTTAACTATATGTCAAAGATTGAAAATAATTTACTGAAAAAATCATAAGTAGACAAAAACGAATTAGTAATTACTAGTGACAAGCAAGGGTGACAGATGACAACGTGGTCAGCAATAGTGGCTAGCTAGCCAACAATAGGGGTCAACAACATCATGTTGGTATTGGGGTAGCCAGCCCGCTATGATACTACCTCTGAACCTCCCTCTCAATGTATTCATTCAGTTTTACTTTATCAAGTAATTAGACGAACTTTAAACCTCAATTAAGCAAAATCTAAAATGTACTACATTATTATGAAAATGGTTTAATTATGTTTAACTTGTTAAGTAATTTTATAGTTTTATTTCATTTTATCAATATGAAATACAAATTGAAAGTAATTAATCGTTAAAAATCATCCAATTTAACTAAAAAAAATTTACCTAAACAAATACACTAAGATAAAAAGAATATATCAAATCTATTAAATCGATACCTCAAATTTGAGAGATATCATGACACCCCAATTTGAAATGATTATGAAACCAAGAGATAAAATCCACAAAAAGATTCCAATTTCAAAAGATGCGGAGTATCAAATAGGTAGTATCATATCTCCTACACTATAGCACTAACCAAATAAGCCCTTACATATTTGTTATTTTTTTTTTTGAAAAAAAATCATATACTTAAAATTTAGGCGTATATATAAAACGAGTGGTAACAAATGAAGAGTATGTCAATGAAATTTGTCAATAAAATAGAAATGTGTGAAAGGTGCAATATTTTTTAACCTAGAAGCCAAAAATTATACCCTATAATGTACTCCCAAAGATATACGCACTCCCGCACTTACATTGACACAAAAAGGTACGTAGTATAAATTTTCAGAATAAATTTTGGGGTTCTATTTTTTCAGTAAAAGTAGGATACTTTTCTTCGTCTGAAAATGTTCTTTACATTTGACTTTTTACAATCTCCAATATTATACTTTGACCATTAATATCTATATTTTACATAAATATAGTTTTTTAAAATGATATTTCAAAACCACGCCTAATTAGAAATATATTGATATTCCCTCCGTCCAGAATTATAATGCATGTTCACTATTCACAGGGTCAAACTTCATTCACTTTCTTTCTCTATTGTCACTTCTAGTTTTGTAGATCTTTTGATATAGTTTTTCAATATGAAATTTTTATTTTTTAATTCTATACCATTTGTCATATAAAATGGTTTGAAAATAATTTCAGTCAAACATCGTAAACCGAAACAATCGTTATAAAATGGGACAGAGGTAGTATTAAATTTATAACATAATACAAATGTATCTCTACGACAAATCGAAATCAAAGTTTACAATCTTTGATCCAAAAAAGTCAAACGTGAAGATTATTTCCGATCTGAACAAGTATATTCTTCTTTTTTTGGGGAGAAGGAGAGTATGTAATACAGGTGGAATTAGTTGTAAAGAAAAGGACAGTAAAACCAACGTGCAGTAAAAGGTGGGACAGCTGCCAGAAGAGACACGCCTATGGTTTTATTTTAGTAGTTGGAGTAGGCACATGAAGCAGTTATGACAATGTCAAAAACGTCACCCCACCCAAACATGTCCTATATACTCACTCCTCCTTTCACATGTGCACATGAACAGAGAGAGAGAAACACATTTAATGCCCCTACCAAAATATGCCCCGACCTTCCAATCCTGTGCTTCCTTAATCACACCATTACCAACAATTAAAATCAAACTTAACAGTTCATTAGCCACCAGAATTAGTCAAATCACCCTACTGTTTATCCCAATCCGCATGTGAAGTTATTGGCCAAAATCAAGCAGAGACAAACAGGGAACAAAAATAACTGCACACAAAATTACATGGGAAGAGGTTTCTTAGTCGGGCCGGTACGGGGACATGAGCTAACGAGTCTCACCGGGAGGAGCGGGGACGTGGGTATAAGAAGTGCCTTGAGTCGGATGAAAGGGCGGTCTTCCGGCTTGTAGGGTAGGACCCCAAGGATTTTGGGAGGGCATAGCAGGAGGGGCTGTTCCATAACCAGCTGGTGAGTGTGTAGGGATAAAATGAGTGTTTTGCCAAGCTGGTGTTGCCGTGCCAGGGTGAGGGAGGGGCGGAGGTTGTTGCATTGGACGCGAGCCTGATGGTTCTGCTGGGACTGTGTAATCTCTGCTTTTGTCACTGAAAGCCTGTTTGGAAATTAGTATATTGTAAGAAAATATATGATCTGGTTAATCAATAATAATAAAATTAGAGGGTACCAATGCAAAGAGTAAATATTTAACACACAATTCCAAGTGCATTTGGTTTTTTTCCATGTTTTTCCTGTGTTTGGTAGGTAGAATCTTTTCTTGTGTTGCTAAAGAGTTAATAATCAATTTTCCACCTCCTTGGAAAAATGTGTTTTGCAATACTATTTTGTACGCTTGTCATGTGAACTTTTGAACAAATATAGACATTTGAGAAATGGTTTGCCCAAAAATATACTGTATTTCCGGGAAGTTTACCAAACACTATAAAATGCTTTGGAAATTTCTCTTTGAGAAAGTCTTTTCAATGGAAACCAAACACTACCTTAATGTGTGATTGGGCCAACTAGATGAAATCCTAGATGAAGGTTGAAATGGTTTGTGAAAGATGAAGATGGAATATAAAATAGATGAAACAAAATGCTCCTACAAGTAGCTTTTCTTTTACGGCCCGTTTGATTGCAAGAGATAGGTTTCTATGAAATGCAGTGTCTATTGAAAATTCTTTATTCCTCTGATCTTATCAGGTCATTTTCAAGAGGAAAACAAAGAATCCAAAAAAAAATATTTTCCTTCAAGTAGATGTTTTTTGCCCCCACAGAAGAAAATGCAAACATTTCCAAAAATAGATTTTCCGTCAATCAAACGAGTCTTAATCACCTTTTCCCCCCCTCTTTTTATCTACTCAAAAAACAAAAATCCTTTTCGGATGATAGATGATATATCACAATTATTTCATCAACTAGCTAGATGAAATGACATGGCAGACATGCACATGCAAGATAAACTAGTCATTTTCATGCTAGTGGAATGATGTTCATATACATCGTTACTATAGTTTATATTCCAAATATATCACTTTGAGAACATATCTGTACCTTCACATTCAGATCGGTGTGACGAGAATATGATAAATGAAGCTTACAATAGCCACCATCGTATATACAATGTCCCTCCAAAGTGTTTTTTGCAGAAGTTGCGGTAGCAACATCTGCATGAAAGCAAAGACGGGATAATCAGAAGCAAGAGGGAACAAAATGCGTTAAAAATTAGCGAATGCAAAGACTCCTCTGACTTCAAGCGAAGATTTTAAGAAACTAGAAACTATGTTGTTGATTTAAAAGGAAAAGGAGATAATTTTGGAGCAGACGAAAAATATAAGAATCGAGATAATAAAAAACACAAAGTAAACTATCATAGGAAATTAAATAAATGTCCTGTTTACCCCCTTCGAGCAAGCACTATTACTTAATTCTGTCTAGACTTTCTTCCGGACTCAATTAAGTCTGCTTTATCCACGATTATGTAATTGTGACACAGGTTCGCCTGATCTAATTTGTCCAAGGTCTGGCCTGGTCTAGTCTGAATGAATCTCATCTTGGATATGATCTGAATGGATGTAATATGATCTGATTCAAATTCACGTTAAAATTATTATAATAATTTTATTATTTTTTTAACATAATGATGATCATTCATATAATTATTGCACCATAATAAATTCACAAATATATAATACACCCAATAACATCTATTCTAGATTTATTTGTATATAACATCATAATAGTAATTACTCCCTCCGTCCCATAATTATCTTTCCTTTTTTTCTTATTTGGGTTGTCCCAAAATTTTCTTCTTTTCCTATTAAGGAAGCACATATGTGGTCTATATCAATTCTCTTTCCTCTAAAGAAACCAGAACCACCCGCATTCCACTTTATTAAATATCGTGCCAAATCAAACCCGGAAGATAAATCTGGGTTGTAGGGAGTTTTATTTAATTGTATGCAACATTTAAAAATGTAACATGATTTAATCGTATAATAATTACTCCATTCGTCTCAATCAGTTTGTCTACTTTTCTTTTTTTATGGTTAATATATGTTTACTAACATAACTATTTTACCCCTACTTTTTCAAACTTAATACTCCTAACTTATTCAACCAAGGACAATTTGGTCTTTTTATTCCCCCTCATTGGGTTGTTGTGCCAAAAGCAAAGTGGACAAAGTGATTGAGACAGAGGAAGTATTATTTAATCATAGATAAAATATGAAAATTATTTCTCAACAATTTTCTTGATTGATCTCATCTCGAATAGATTTGACTTGATCTGAATGGATTTGGATTTGATTTGATTAGATCTGATTGAATCTAATCTGCTTTGATTGGGTCTGCTCTCATCTTATATGATTTTAATAAGAATGGGCAATAAGCAAAAAAATAAGTTGAACGGAACAAAACCTAACTTTTGTCCACAATATATAGGTCTTAAGGAACAAATTCAATAACAAAGTATAATCAAGGGAGTTAAGGACTAAATCAGAAATTAACTTTTAGGACATCAAAGCCATGTGCATTAGTAGTTTAGAATACTGTTATATTTGCTAGTTACGCTTCTCGTTAGAGGCTTATGTGCAAGAAAGGAAGAGTTCTTCCCTATGGTGTCGCAGAAAAGAACATAATAAAAGAGAGTAAGTAGGTTGAAGGGAGGGTCAGGACCCGGCAGGAAAAAAAACTTAATTCTTTATTCCAATAATACACTAGTTTAGGTTGCCTTTCTTTTATAAAGGCTTACTATCCTATATTAGTAAGGAAACAGGGATATTCCTTAGATAAAACAATCCTTAGACATAAATGAAACAACCAGTGGCCAAATAAAAGATTCCTAATAAATAGCTAATTGTGAACAAAAGATGAAAGTAAACAAACTAAACATGTAATAGCTAAAATTCCAGTGCCCCTGCCTTGAGTCATAGGCAAGAATACCGCCTATCAAAGAATGTGTCAAACAAACTATGGGTTTGGAACTGCTTGCTTCCCAAATAAGCCTAATAACGACTAGCACACCCCTATGGAAAAGCATATACTCCCTCCGTCCCGGAGTATTCGTCCAGTTTTGACTTTTGGAACTGTTCATCTAAGCACTTTGACTCATTAAATTCTCTCAATGTGTAAGCCTAAATATAGTCATGTGTGATCTTGTTTGATTTGTCTTAACATATAAATTATTAATACATAATTTCTATAATTTTTTAATATACAAATTACAAGATAAAATGCATTAAAGAAGTGTATTGGATGGTGTGTAAAAATGAAAGTGGACAAATACTCTGGGACGGAGATAGTATTTCAAATTTTCAATACATACCAGGGTATTGGATAAATGCTTGGGTTCCCCCATTCTTCTCAAATATTGCAATCTTTTGAACCATACCAAATGCAGAGAATACCTTGTTGAAATGAATATGAATTAGAACTAAAAATGTAGATGTTTGCAGGTAAAGAGTACAGCCAAAAAGATCTAAGAGAAACTAGAATACTATACCGTGTGAAGGATGTCCAACGTGACAGCATACTGCATATTCTCAATGGAGGCAAGAAGCACATTACTCTCTGCCTCTTTTATCTTTCCATCTAGACCTACAACAGGCTGTATATAAGTGGGGTTTAGCAGTTGTTGCACATACAAGAGCGCAGCAAATTGTATAATTCCAAAATTAAAAATTTAAACCTGAATGTATCCCTCCATTGCAGTTGAATTGACAGGAAGATAAGGATTTGTATAATCTCTGGATATTAAGAAAAATTAATTAATTAATTAATAAATAAGAAAGTAAAAAATGAAAAAATAAAACATTACACAAATTGAGCATATCTCTAGAAATCAATGTTTGGGCTGAAAACAAATTAGGATTAATTATCTTGCTTGAAACCAAGCAGAGTTTACATTAGGATTACTCATCTTGCTATAAACCCTCAGGCATTGAATATTCCATACGAAAAGTAAAACACTTCCTAGAAACAAAGATTATAGCTACAAATTTGATATAAAACTATCAGTAATCATCAAAAGTGCTGCACAGCCACAGGATTTTTCAATGAATAAAGCATAGAATTTGTTATTACTTATGACAGAGACAGTGAGCAAGTTGGCTATGTAAATAAAGAATGGTGGAGCTTAGAACTATTCAACAAAATATCAAAACAATGAGATTAGGAAAATTACAAAGTATCCATGGCAAAAACAACTGTGTTTTAGCTGCCGAGCTTCACTAAACCCTAGATGACAAAAGCATATATATCAATTAGAAAGAACTTAATTTGTAAACTAAATTTAAGAGTCAAGCAAAAGTTTTGAAGAAAAAAAAGCTAGAAGTGGAAGCAAAAGGAGTTAATGGACTAAAGAAGTTCCATACCTGCTCCGGTTAGACTGGAATTTTATATTAAGATCTGTATGAGCAGAGAATGCAATGCGCAGATGACAATCATTAACATGCTCAGGGAGCAGGTACCTGAAAATTGTACATTTATTGGTCCGAATAAAATCAGGAATTAGAACACACACACACACACACATATATATAACCATGTACATGTACAGCAAGTAAAAACCAGAAAGTGCATACCTTGGGATGCATCTCCCATCCAATGCTTCTCTAGCAGTAACTGCAGTCTCAACATCGGTGAACTGGATCAAAGCCTGTCAAAATGCAGTACACATCTGTCAACAATGAAGTGCATTATACAGCTAGGGTATTTTTTGTTTTGGGGGGGTGGGGTGAAGAAACTGAAAATAACAGAATTTTTAAACAAGCCGCAAAGTGACCTGAAATCCTGCTGCCTTTTCAAAGGTAGCAATCTTGTGCACAAAACCATAGGCTGAAAATACCTGGGAAAAATTGTTGATAAAAGGAAGTGGTGAATTATGCCAGGGAAATAAAGAATTAAACCAACATAACTTTAGAGAAGAAAGCAAAGAAATTAAATGAAGCCTTAAAATAGATCACAAGAATGTGAGAATAAGTCCAGAATGACACCTGTATATGCAAGCCATAGAATTGTGTACGACCCAAATGACAATATATCCGATGTCTCCAACAAAAGATATTAAATTATGATCATCTGTGATTAAACTAACTTGAGTCAACAATGAATAGTTTAGTGAATGTATTTCTGAAGTAGGTGGAAGATGTAGAGGAAAAACATTTTTTTCTGAAATAAAATATTTTACACCTATGGGCGTTCCACAACTAGGCATAATCTTGAAAACCAGGAAGTTGATTATCAACAGTCAAACATTACATAATAAGAACATAACTTATATATGCAGCATGTTCTTTAGACAGGTGTCGAAGCAAAAACTGAAGCCATACCCCTTTTGTTCTAGTACACTATTTTTTTCCAATCAAGTAACAAAAAATATCACATTAGATACTCCCTCTGTCCCAAAGAGAGAGTGCTTTTTGAAGACATGTTTTTGGTCACGTAAAGAATATTGATTGACCATAATGCTAATTTTCAATATATCCACACACACACACACATATATTCAGGGATCGGGTGAAAATATTGAACCACAATACTTTATATAATTGAAGCATGCACAATAAATTGAGACGAACCAAAAAAGAAAGAAAGCACAACAAATTGGTGCCCACCCTTCACCTCTATCCCTTGGGTAGCTCAGGCAACCCATGTTGTCACCTTTAATAACTATGATTATATCTATTATCTAGTTTTTTAATTAAAAAATGTCTCAAACTAAGATTTTTTTGGCTTTGGGGTATGATGGAATAAACCACAATGGCTCTTTAATTGTTTGCGTTTCTTTTAAAGTGAATAAGCAATTAGTCAATGCAACTTTCGACACTCATCATTGATCGTCTGGAAATAGCAGCTCTATGTTTTAAACATAGGGGTCAGGCTGCATATATTCAACCCCCTTACGGCCTTACCCCGCAATGGGCGGGAGCCTATGAGGCTATGGGGCACTGGGGTTATGTTGTTGTTTATCTCAAACAAGCTATAAACACGTTAAATTTAGTTATACCAACAAAAAACTTTAAACATATAGCTATAATTGTTGATTTGCAATAATTGTACCATGCTAAAAATTTAAAAGTTTTTGCATGGTGCAATAGAACTCCTTTTATGGGACGAGAGAATTAATTTTGAACTCTGGGTATAGCAAATGCATGTTTATCAGAACTGTTCAAGATCATAAAAGAAGCATTCGTATAGTGCATGCTGCAATTACATGTGGCTTTTTTCAAATGGAGAATGGAGAGGCGTACTTACCAAATGAATGACATCAATGCTGACATCACTTGCTTCAACACCCTCAATCGTTACGAGCAGAACATTACCAGGTACATCTCCAGGGCCCTTGTTGTTGACAATTTCATGCCTGTTTGAATACTGAATATACACAGCTTTGCCACGAATTTGTGCAGGCTCCGAAGATGAAGCGTAATAGGTGGCCATATTAATTGCCTGATTAAGATCAGCCTGCACAATGAAAATATCTGTTAAATATATTGTAGGATTTATGGACTTCCAGGTTATATTATCTAAACCCCCTCCCAGCCCCTCTTTATATTATTTAAGCCCAATTTCAGCCACTACATGTTGGAAAGAAAGAAAGGGTTACATATAACTGAATCCTCATATTTGACATTGAAACCTATATCAACTCACATCCAACAGAACAAACTGCATTATTTGGCAATAAAATCAGATCATGTAGTGAACAACCAAAAGATGATGCTCTCTGCTCTTAATTGTTAATTTTCTACCGTTGTTCATCCACATCCATTGATGTTTCGTAGTATATTATGCTTCTTCCATCCCATTAGTTTCTTTACACACATGTTATGATGCTTGACTTATGTTATTTTCAAATCATTTTAATTAAAAATTTGTGCAAAATTAAAAAATAAAATTTACATATTTAAAACTACATGAAGACCTACAAAACAAGAGGTGACATCATGATCCAGATTATAACATCATACGTTTGTATGATTACTGTTCGTGCTATCGACTCGGATTACTGATCGAATTAAAGTTTGCTAGCATCATTGGGGATGGTCGAGGATCAAAGTAAGGTTGAAAAATGAGAAAGAGGTGTGCCTGATTCGTCTCATTCGGCTTTCAATTCTTCAAATGGTAATAAGCATATTTTTTTCTCAATGCTTCTTTCTATAACTTCACAATCTCTTCATTCCTCCCTCTCCGAATTCCGATTTGCACCTCCCCTCTCGTCTGACCGTCTTAATATTCCCCTTTGCCCAAATTTTATTCCCTCTGCGGCCAGCTTCTTTTTTCCCTTTTCTATGATCTATAACAGCAGCCACGAGACCTCTTTTTCCATTCGCAGATTCTTGAGTTTTAAGTTTTGGAGTGAGTGACCGAACTAAAAAACTTCAATCTTTGAGATATGCGGCAGACTAAAATTGTTTAGATCAAGTGGAATAATTAATAAGAAGGCTCCCGGGATGAGGACTTTAATCCCAAAGATTATGTTTGATGATGACTTATTATTACGCTCCATGTCTTGCAAGGTTGTTTTGAGCTTTTCAAGTTGTTTTTATTCGGAGGATATGATGTTATGACTATTTTATGATTATGATGTATGGCCTTTTATTTTTTATTACGTACTTGTTTTAAATTTTAACTTTTATTACTATTCTAGGATCTTATGATTCAAGTTACGATGATCCTCTAACCCCCCCCCCAACCCCGATCCTAGCTAGGATCTCAAGTTTAACAACCTTAGGTGACATGACTATTATTTTATCAACTGATAGATGAGCATATGTAAAGAAAAAAGATTCAATTTGACCTATGAATAGTAAATCTAAGGAAACCAGCAGGACAGATGGAGTATTACGTTAATTTCTTTAAAGAATTAAAGTGAGGTGTTCTGGTTGTATTACACTAGTAAATCTAAATTTAAGAAAAAAATATGCTCCCATAATAAGTGAGTTAAATTTAAGCCTAAAGAACAATTATATCGAAAGAGAGAGATTACATGTACAGATGTACTAGAACCAAAATCCATGTTCATGTTAAGATAATCTAAAGCCTCTCCATAGAAGGTTATAAGATAATTTAAAGATGTCTCAACTACATCCATTATACCATGCATTCTTAAAGATTAAGAATTTAGGTGCATGACAGCATCATATGCATGTTAAATGTTGATGTTGCTGCATAAATTTTGAAATGAGACATGACTACAATAAATTCTAAACTATATTTACGTAATATCATTTTAAGGTTTTAGAATTTCACATCATTGTTCCTTTTTGAGAAATTTGTGACACAAAGGAATACATAAAATGTTAGCATTATACATTTCTGTGAAGTTTTAGTGTTAACCACGGTTTTAAAAAGCATTTTAAGTCACACGGTTACTCCTTGAGGCAAGCCTTAGTCTGAGGTGATGAAAAAAACATTGTGGCTTAAGCTTAAAGTGAAAAAAGTAAATGAATTAAGGCATAACCCTAAGATGGTTAAGGCATGGTGTGACTCGTGAGGCTTAAGCTTCAAATTCCTTGCTTTAAGTTTTGGACGAAAATTATTGTTCTTAGATAAAATAAAGTATACTCGGTCTATTATTTTGATTTTTTGTCTCTAACCCAATAAAAGCCCTAAAAACTACGTGCATAAATCAACAATTATCTTCACGGCTCACACAACTTTACTTATAATGTTAAGAAATTCCATAACCTATAAAGTACATGGCTCTCCCGCCCATCTAGTGGCTACTAGTGCTATTCTCCTTTCCTCCTATACAGTGAAATTCAAACGACTACATCTTCAATCCTCATTTTTTATTTTGATTTCAAAACTAACAACAGAAGATAGCAAGTTTTCTATAATCTTGTTATTCAAATTACACCAGCTTCTTTTCTCATTTAAAAACTTCTTATTTTTTGAGGGTAAAAAAATCTTTAAAAAATTTCTTTGAAGAGTTTAACGTTAGGTAGTTTTTTATGAAAATAAACCACGCCTTGTTTTTTTCTATGTATGATTGATAATTTGATATTATGTTTATCAGTGTTAGTAACTATGGTTTCTAACAGATATTCTATAGAAAATTTGAGGCCTTGACTCTTGAGGCTTACACCTCATCTCACATATTGAAAACACCTCTTTAAAGAGTGGTGTTAACTAAGGCTATGTTTGGTTTAATGTTATGAAATGGAATGAAATCCAAAACGTAATGCAATGGGTGGAATCTTCATTCCATTGCTAATTATGAATTTGTAGCGTTGGTTTCAAACAAAAAATGAATTTGTAGTATTACCTAAATTTAGGCTATTAATTGAATATAAGTGCATACAATAGGCCCCGAGATAGTTGGTAATGGTTATCATGGTGGTGGTGAGTCAAGTTGCATCTATTTCATCACTCCAAATAACAAAAAATCAACTTGCCTGGTCTATTATGATATAAAATGCATTTGGTTTGATATAATAAGTTCTTCAAAAATTCAAACACACATCTTTAGCTAGACAAAACAGGTTGATGGGATAAACGCTATAATAATAAGCTAAAATTTTACAAGATACATTAATTTTTTTGCCATTTAGCTTTACTAATCTAGGGCTTGTTTTAGGAACAACATACCTAATCATTTTAAAAGCTTTTTGTTGAATAATATTTTCAAAAAGTTGAAGGTAAATGCCAAAGCTAATGTCAAACAAAGCCTGAATCCGAATGAATAAGCTAACCCAGAACTACAAAAGGACTAACCCTGCAATGATAGCATATATTAACTCTGATACAGAAAAGAGAACTTACAAACTCGACAAATGCTTGGTTGCGGTTGGAGCCAACGTTGCACTTGGTGTTGACGATCTGCCCAAAGGGTTTGCACAGCTCGATTAGCTCTTCTTCGATGCACTCCCATGGGAGATTCCGCAGGTGGAGAACCTTGGAAGGTGTCTGTGTGTACCGAAATTGTGGTTGCCCGGACGTCGACATCAATCGATCAGAGCTTCGAATCGGCTAATGCTATAGGATGACCAGACGACGGCGCCGCCGAATTTTTTGAATTCCGATGGAACTAGGTTTTGAGTTTCCCCTCTGGGATGAGAATTAGCGCGTGTGGCTTTATATGATGCTCCCTGTCTCAGTCCCTCCTCCTTTTTTTTTTTAGAACAACCAACTTTCATTAATTCAAAAGAGACATAAGAAAATGAGGGGGAACAAAATCCCAATCACCTGTCTGAGTTTCAACCCGCCTAGCTAACGTATGCGCTACCACATTGAGACTTCTACGAACATGAGAAACCAAAACAGATTCAAACGAGGCCATGAGGGCCTTACAGTCATCAATCAAAGACCCGAAATAAGAAGCACAATCCGACACACCACTATCATTAATTGCCTCTACGACACGAAAACAATCAGAAAAAATAACAGCAACCTAGACTCCAAGACTTTTGAGCCACGACAAAGTCTCCCGGCATGCCATAGCTTCTGCCAACAATGGATCTTGCGGGCACCACAACCGTCGAGCAAAAGCCGCTTGAAATTCCTTAGAAGAGGAGAAAATCACTCCACCAGCACCAACCAGACCCGAAGCATGGAATAGAGCAGCATCAAAAAAACAATGGGCAGCTTCAGGGGGGAAAACCCTCTCTGCCGAAGGAGTTAAGGTGGGGGGATCCTCTCTATGACTATTCTCCCACCCTTTCGAAAAATTCAGCACCATGCGAACTGTTACCTCTGGGGTTGGCACCCGTTGTTCCCATACGGCTGCGTTCCTACACTTCCAAATCATCCAGATTGTCCACACAATGTGGATTAGCTCACTGGACGTGGCTGTCTGAAACACCAGTTGAACCCAGTCCGAGAACGAACTCGCCGCCGATCGATTAGCCACCTGGAAGCTACTGCGTTTCCACACATATTCTGCAAACGGGCAACGAAGAAACAAATGATCCACTGCTTCACTCAGCTGGCCACAAATGGAACAACAATTATCAATTTCCAAACCTTTGGAATTCAAGGCCGAAACAGTTGGGAGGATACCTCGCAGTGCACGCCAAACACAAACCTTAACTTTGGGAGCTACTGGAATCCTCCACAGTCGGCTCCATTGTGAAAAACCTGGAGTTTGGGTAGCCTCCCCCATAATCCTACGATACCCTGACTTCACTGAGTAAAGGTCGTCCTCACTACCAATCCAAAACCAGTTATCTTTACGCCGAGGGCAACATGGAATCATCTGCACCTGAGATACGTCACATTGCACAAGATGAGTTTGAAGCCTCTCTAAATTCCAACAGTCCCTATTAGCATCAATAAAAAAACTCACCGGCAAGTTAGCACTTGGTGAAGCTAACACGGTGTGAAGAAACGGGTTATCTCGGTCCAACAACCACGGCGTACCCCACGCCATTGTTTCGACCCCATTCCCAATACGCCTGCGTACCCCCGCTTTAACCAACTCCTGGGCTGCCATAATGCTCTGCCAACAATAACTTGGAGTATACCCCAAACCTGCTTCAAGGAATGTAGAGTTAGGGAAATATCTAGCTTTGAAAACCCGTGACACAAGAGCCTCGGGTTTGGTCAAGAGCCGCCACCCCTGTTTACCTAGCATGGCAATGTTGAAGTAATGAATGTTTTTGAAGCCCAAACCCCCAGACTTTTTAGGAACAGACAACTTATCCCATGACATCCAATGAATTCCTGAGGCATTAGACCCACCTCCCCTCCACCAAAAGGAATTCATTAGCTTCTCAATACGATCACAAATAGACAAAGGGAGACGGAACACACTCATAGCATATTGGGGCATAGCTTGTGCAACAGTCTTAAGCAAGATTTCTTTCCCGGCTTTAGAAAGCAATTTTTTACTCCATCCACCAATACGATGTCGAATCTTGTCAAGAATGTAAGTAAAAACCCCACTTTTATCCCTTCCTAAGAAAGAAGGGAGACCCAAATATTTCCCAAAATTACGGGCTGAGGTGACACCAAAAAAAGAGGTAATCCATTGCTTCAACAAAGGGGGGACATTCAGACTGAAACAAGCATTAGATTTATGAAAATTGATAACCTGACCTGAGATCCGTTCGTACTCAACCAAACAATCTCTCACTGCACCTGCCTCATCAGGAGAAGCCTTGAAGAGCAAAAGACTATCATCAGCAAAGAATAAATGAGAGATAGGCGGAGCCCCTCTACAAACTCGGATCCCATGAATCGCACCTCGTCTTTCCGCATCCTGTAAAAGTAACGAGAGACCCTCAGCACAAATAATAAAAAGATAGGGGCTCAGCGGGTCGCCTTGACGGAGCCCTCTGCTCGGGGTGATAGGTTCCGTAAATTCACCATTCAGCGCAATCTTATATTTAACAGTGGTAACACAAAGCATAATAAGATTAACCCATCTCTGATCAAAGCCCAGCCTCAACATCATAGTACGCAAAAAGTTCCACTCCATCCTATCATACGCTTTAGCCATGTCCAACTTGAGGCCCACCCAACCAGTGTTTCCCCCTTGCTTACGACGAAGAAAGTGACCCAACTCTGCAGCAAGAAGAATATTATCTGAGATCAAGTGCCCCGGTATAAAGGCTGATTGGGTATGAGAGATAATATCCGAGAGCATAAGCTTCATACGATTGGCCAAAACCTTCGCTATGATTTTGTAGACAACGTTACACAAGGCAATAGGTCTTAAGTCTGCAACCGTCTTAGGAATGTCCTTCTTTGGAATTAAAACAATAGTCGCATCATTCAAATTGTCTGGGAAAACTCCCTCATTCAAACATGAAAGAACAAATCTCGTAACTTCTGAATCAACCAGGTCCCACGTCTTTTGATAAAATCCCGGATTCATCCCGTCAGGTCCTGGTGATTTGTCTGGATGCATAGCAAAAAGCACCTTTCGAACCTCCACTTCTTCAAACGGCCTAAGAAGCATATCATTATGCACTGGCGAAACCTTCGGCGTAATCTGATCAAAGAAAGTTGATTGAGCAGCCCCTGTAGAGTCAAAAATTTGATTGAAATAATGCCAAACCAAAGGTTTAAGGGCTGCACCCTCACACCACTGTCCTGCACCATCCTGTAACCGGGCAATATGGTTTTTCTTTCTCCGATGAGATGCATATTGATGGAAATACTTAGTGTTAGCATCTGCCGACCGAAGCCAGTGTTGCTTAGCCCGTTGACGCCAATAAATATCCTCCTGTTCCAGGAGTTTCGACAACTCCCTGTCAAGTCAATTAAACTCCCTCAACCCCGTAGCACTACGACACCCCCTAAATCTTTCCACCTCAGCCTTTAACTGCTTAATCCGTTTACCAAATTTATGCATCTTATCACCCCCCCAAGCCATCAACTTCTTACCACAATAACCCAACCTGTCGTGGAGAGAACGTGTTGACGATGAATTCCAGGACTCCTTGATCACATCCTTATAACCGTCATCACAAAGCCATGCATTTTCAAACCGGAACTGTTTCATCCGCCGCTGAGTACACGGTTTAGTTAGACATAAAAACAAAGCAGAATGGTCAGATGTTCGCATGGGGTGATTTATTACGCAAGCATGGGGATGAAGCACACGCCATTCACAAGTACTAACGGCACGATCCAGACGTTCTTCAACCCAATTCTCCGTGCCTCTACCCCGCTCCCACGTGAAAGGGTATCCCTGCATACCAAGATCAAACAAACGACACTCCGCCAAAGTTGAATTAAAAGCAGAAATCAATGAAAGAGGTTGAGGCTGACCCCCTCTCTTCTCAGAAGAAGCACAAACCGCATTGAAATCACCGATGACCACCCACGGTAAGGAAGATCTGACCTTTAATGAGCGAAGGAGATCCCACGAGGTTTGTCGAAGGTCTCTTCTAGGATTCCCATAAAATCCAGTGAGCCTCCAAGGGAGAGCACCTTCCAAGGAGACCATAACATCAACATGAAACCGTGAGTAACTAATGAGATTAACCGAGCGGTTTGACCTCCAGAGTAATGCCAAACCACCACTTGCACCAACACTGTCCACAACAAACAATCCCTCAAAACCAATCTTAACACGAAGAACTTCAGCCTTATCACGAGCACCTTTAGTTTCCATCAGAAAAACAAAATCAGGCTTTTTAGCGAAGACGAGCTCCGCCACTTCCTGAACTATCCGCAGGTTGCCCAGCCCGCGGCAGTTCCAACTGATGATACTCATTGCTCTCGGCGGGCCTGGAACCCAAAACCCGCCGCCTGCACGTTTTTTGAGAAATCTGTCATGGTTGTATCCACCCCCGAAGGAACCACAATCACTACATCCGAGCCCCTTTTCCGTTTTGAGGCAATTTCCAAGCCATCCTCATCATGTGAGTTACTCTTTGTAGCAGCCGACACCGAAGATCCTGCACCTTCCCCCAATGAAGGATTGTCAAAGCGCAACCATTGTAGACCATAACTAGTATCCTTTTTCCTCCCCCCTGCCCGGAGAGATGCATCAAAAGGGTACTCCTCTGGTTCCAACTCTGATAATACCGCATCACGACAATGTTTCGCTATATGGCCCATTATTCCACAGTAAAAACAAAAACCATTCAAACGTTCATATTTAAAGTTCACCCAAACTACACCATCATCTCTCTTAGTCAGTTTCATCCTCCTACGTAAGGGTTTCTTCACATCAATGGAGACTCTCACCCGAAAATACGAACGATGTATGGAAGGACTAGTGTCATGCTTAACAAAAATACCAACAAACTTACCCACTGCCTCTAGAATTTCCAACGAAGTATACCCATCTGGGAGATCATAAATTTGCACCCACATCTGAACCATATTCAGGTCCTTTGCCTCAACAACCTCCCCTGGACTAAGGAGTTTCATCACTAATGTTGCATTATCAAATGACCATGGACCCTCTTCAATGATTCGGGTTGCATCTTTCATATGGAAGAAGTGAAAGAGATATAGGTTATCATCCTTTTGCACAATTCGCACCCCTAACGCTGGTTTCCAAGCGGCAGCCATAACCCTTTGCATTATGTCAAACTTGATAACATTATCTGTGAGAAATCGACCAGCAATCGTCCAGGTGTGGAGGTTAATTTCAGCCGGCGGCGCCCCACCGTTAGGAAGAAACGAAAGCCCCTCTTGTTCTTCATCCAAATCGAGTTGTACTACCCCGATATTCAATCGATCGACGACTCCTCCTTCCATGGATCTACAGAGGACGAGAAACAGCAGCAAAATTGGCCAGAAAAAGACGACAAATTGAAACCCTGAAGGCAGGGAGAAAAACCCTAGAGAACGCAGGGAGGAACTCTTGACGTTTTAGTCCCTCCTCCTTTAACCCAAGGCATTTGTTTTTTGTTAAAAAAAAAAAGAATAAAGTAGATTAAAAGACTGAAAATATATTAAAATGATAATTTTATATTTTTATTTCTGAAATAAAAACTAAAATATATATACAACGTCAATCATAAATATATACATTGTGAGAAATGTATCACAATAAAAAATTCTATTTTATTACTTTTTTTATATTTTACTCATATTTATAATAATTTCTTGTTTGGTTAAGATATTGAAGATCATTTCTTGTTAGGATAAGCTATTGGGTGTGGTATGCGACTATGCGTCATCCCCACAATATTCGTATTGAAATTTAGCGCTAGATTAGCTTTTCTCGTTACATTATATTTTCTTTTAGGAGTATAACGTATCATCTTTTTCAGCATTACTTTTATATGGAGTAATACTTTATTTTAAAAAATAAATAAAAAATAAAACATACTCCCTCTGTCTCATTTTAAATTGTCTGTTTGCCTTTTTTCTCCGTCCCAAAATAAGTTGCATGTTAGTTGTTTTCGTAAACTTTTAAAAATAAAATACCTAAACTACCCCAAAAATAAGTCACTCTTTTTCACCTTATCTTCTCATTCATCATCACCCCTCCTAAAAAGTAATGTCAATTTTGGAAAATCAACTCTATTTTTTATTTTCCTTAAATATGCCCAAAAGTCAAACTAGGCGATTTAAATTGGGACGGAGGGAGTAGTTTTTTTTAAAAATGTAAATAATTAATTTTTAAAAAGTGTGTTAACAAGTCCAATAAAAAATACATGCATAAATTAAATTAAACATCTCACTGTTAATATATAAAAAAGTACTATTAATTTAAAAACAGTACATAATTAAGAAAGTTGCAAGCGTAAACAATGAATTTTATTAAAAATGCGTCTAAAAAACCAAACTACAAAACTACCCCGGAGTATTTGTTTGCTTAAATTACATGATCAGAAGAAGATGAATCAATGACAACAAATCCAATGGTATATTTGAATCTTTTACATAAAAATTTGAGACTCCAATGCACACGAGTTCGACATCTGCTGTATTATAGGGTATACATGTGACATAATACATTAATATGGGATATGCAGGTGTCACATTATTGGATATATTATGTAGCATTTGATTAATGAGCTAGATGTCATTCAATAATAGTTGATATGAGATTAAACTTTTACATTCCAATAAATCCTTTATATTAAATTAATAAGAATACAAATAATTCAATATGAAAAAATATTTTGGTATGATTACTTTGGAAAAATATTTTGGTATGATCACTTTGAATAAATTCAATTATGAAAAAGTGACATTCATTTTTCATCATTCGATATTTTTTATTGCTTCATTTATAACAAAAATTTCATTTAATTAATGCACCACGCTCTTCCCCTCTTAAAAAATTTATATGAATGTTTGTTTAAGATTAGTTAAAACAAAGTTAGTTTTGAATCTATTTATTATTTCAATATTGATGTAAAATAAAAAATAAACAATATATTTTAAAAATTACATTAAACATTTTTAAAAAGCAAGAGATGATTGAGTTATATTGGTGTTCAAGTAGAAAAAAATTACTATATATAATTTTGTAATTGCTTGTGTTAATTTTATGATTTTAGTTAATTACTAGAAAATTTATGCTTTATAGATTTTAGATGCTTTGTGATTTAAATATAAAAATTTATTATTTTTAATTACTTATTAGGATATAATACTTAATTTAATTATACAATGTAATTGATCATAATAAAACTTCATATTTATTCACGATATGTTTAAATGAAGTTACTTTTTTCATTGAAATATAAAAATAAAATAAAAAATGCTTTGGCATATTTTAATCTCTAAATTAATACGAAGTATTTTTTAAAACAAGAGGTGTCTAGAGAAGCGAGAATAATGAGAGAATGAGAATAGGAATACTTCAACAAAAAAGAACATAAGAAAGGTGCATGTTTTTATACTTATTGTTTTAATTTAGCAACTCAACATACATATGTAAAAATCATAAACATCATTCGTAGCTTTTCTACAAATCGTATGTAATTAAATTGTAAAATGGTTGCTTTAGATTTTTCATGCATCCATCTTTTCTAAATAATATCCTAATTAAGGAGTGTGTATTTATAAAATTTGTTAATTAAATCAAGCAAAATATTTTGGTGACTATAATTTCTCCATGCTTCCCAAAGGAACAAATATCATCGGTAGGCCCCCCTGTAATATGTACCCATAGGAACAAGAGAATTAAACTACTTGAAAATACTTTTAACGATCCAATTGGGGATGTACAAGCTATTAGAGCATGAAGACACTTACCACCAATGTTGTACAAAATACATTCGAGAATATATGTGAAACATATAGGCTATTAACTAATGATAAAGAATTTGTTAAAGATATAAAAGAGACTACTGAACTCATATCTCCAAGTCAGCTAAAAAAGTTGATAGTCACATTAGTAGTGACAAGTACCATGAGTCGTACTCAAATTGTTTAAGAAAAATTGTAAGAGCTGTTGGTTGATGAAATTTAATTCGAACGAAAGATATTTCTATAAAAAGGTAGTTTTTATTATTCACATAAAGATAAATTTGAAATGCATGACACATATACAAAACTCTAGAATTGAGATGTGAGTTAATGTAATTTAGTCGCATTTTAACCATTTTTGCAGAATTTATATTTTCTAAAATATCTAAAGAGTTTGTGTTTGATCGAGATTAAAAAGTTACTTAACTCGAATATACGGTCCTTATATAAGTTTAGTCGACTGTCATTCCGAGATGACAATCCACTTAATAAATTTTAAAATAATTTCTTGGTAGAAGAGTTGAACTATGACCAAAAAAAGTTGTCATATGACCTTAAACAATATATATCTATAATGAATGAAGACCAGAGGAAGATATACAATGATGAACGTTTTATGTGTTGCTATGACTATGAACAAAAGTACTTGTCAAACATTGTCATTTGTTGGATTTTTTTTAACCAGGTTGAAATTCACTTATGGTCAACACTATGTTGTTGTTTCACGAGTGAAAACCAATACAGAGTTAAAAATATTAGTTCTAAATGATAATGAAAATCCTTGCAACCACACAAAAAAATATTGTATTCTGTGAAGATTTTTTTTTTTTAAATATCAACTTTAAAAAGACTTTGAAGAAATCTCCCTTAATAGGAGCAAAAAGGTATAAAAATACCAATATGAGTCATAAATCTTTTACGAACAAAATATGAGGAAAATGACAGTGTGGTTTGAGAGTACGTGTTGGGAGTATGATGGAAAAAGGATGAGAGTGCACGATATCAGTGTGATCAGTCAACCATCGGTAATCCGCGACGACACTCTAGTGGTTGGTGGCGAAGAACGGTAGTGTGACGATGATAGTGTGACAGTTACAATGTGACAATGTTGTGAGTATGGTAGTGTGAATCCTGTTTTGGGTTTTTTTTAAAATATGACTCCTATTTTCATATTTTCATTGTTTTTATTCTTATCCATGGAGTTTTCTCTTTATTTTACTTTGACTTTAATGTCTATAGTGTTAAAGAATGCATTACATATATTTTCGTAAACTCATTTGAAAATATTACATTGAAGATAGTTCATAGAATGAACAAAAAAATTGTTCGATTCCGTACGTGGCACATGTTAAAATACGATTAGGATAATATAGGATAATATAAGTAAATTAAAAATAAGAATGAATATAATGAAGATTGAGATGGGAGTTGTGGTTTAAATACAACTTTTTAAACCTCAAACAATCATATTCATTTTAAAAAATCACAAAAAATACTGTTGAAGGAGCTCGGCGAGAACGCATGTTTTCCCCGCGATGTTGAGAGATTCGAGACTTGACCTGGGAGTTTCCTTGTCAGGACCGGCATCAACGATCCCTTCTCTACCTAACACCCAATGACTTTACTTGACAAGTATTTTAATATTTTTTTTAAAAAATAAATAAATAGTCAAATAAAAGTTTACCCTCTGCGGTCCGCCTCACAATTGATGTGTATGTTCACTATTCAAGTTTCAAAATTTATAATAATTTTTGTTTATTATTTTTTTGTTACTTATTTGATACTATGTAAAATACAGCATGTTGTCACAACTTTTTTGGAGAATTATTTATTTATTTCTTACGAACTTAATTTATAGTTTTTATTTTTATACCAATTTATAAATATAATGAAATAAAATATCATGAAAATATTTTCTTCTTGAAAGAAACATCCATTGTAGGATGGAGAAAGTATATCCATTTTAGGATGGAGAAAGTATGTGAAAGGGATCATGTAAACATTGTTAAACTTAAGGTATACGGAATATTAAATTAGAGCATCTTTAATGGGTAGTGTTAAGGAGTTGATTTACTTAAAAAAAGGATATGAGGCTTATGGGAAACACATGTAGATTCTGAGCTGTTTTCTCTTTAAAAGAGTTGCTTAGCAAAGCAACTGTAGCTTTTTAAAAACTTTTTTCTTAAGGAAAGGATCAAATTCATTCCATCGAAATGAAGTGAGTAATAAAATGAGGTGGAGTAGCACCCATAAGCCCGGCTGAGCCAAAGCGTATCTAGCCACATATGGGCTACCACATTCATATCACGATGTGCAAAATTAAGAGAGACTTGAAAAAAGACTCAACCAGCTTGAAAAAAGACTCATACCACTTATGGGCTACCACATCCTATTCAAACATTCTTATTTTGAATTTGAAAGCTCATACCACATTTTTTAAAATTAGTTTTCAATGATAATTAACAATATGGTTCTTTGTAATTCAAATGTATTCCCTTAGTAGTCATCAACAAAAAAATGCCTATTAACTCTCAATCAAATGCAACATATTTTGGTATTTTTTATCACTTAGACTAAAATATGTTCTCAAAATGATTCTTTTTAAATTAAGAATATTTCCAAATTGATAATTTCTAAATAAATATTTCCCCAAAATAGAGTCCACAAGCGTATCCGGGGTGGGTCTCATTCTTGAGCAGTCACTTACTTAATTTGAAATGACTATTTTGAACTCTTATTTATAGTTTAGATGACAAAAAATACAAAAATATCCTCCATTTAACTATTAATTCATAAATAATTTTTATAGAAGATTATTTAGATAATACATCTCAATTACAAAAGACCACGTTGATAATTATTATTTATTAAAGACTAATTTGAAAGAAACACCATATTAGAATTACTCTTTAGAATTTCTTGAGTTGTAGAGAGGACCACTATCAGGCCCGGCCCAAACCGGGCAAACAAAAGTCGTCTCAATCAATAAAAGAAAAAATCAATTCCAGGTCTAAAATCGCCTGTGCTTTCAGCATTCTTCGGAACCCTCAGATCCGAGCTCGCCTGAACCCGAGGTAAACTCCATTACGTTTTCCGCCCCAGACTGATTTAATCCTTACCATTTCATCACAATTAAATCGATGAATTCTGTAACTTTTAGCACCATTTTACGCAGTTGGCGAATTGTATTTGAGATGTGTATATTGATGACTATAGCTGGTTTTTGAGCTTTCATGGTTAAGGTTTCTGAATTATAATGGCATGTCTGGTTGATGATTCCAGTATGGGTGGTCAAAGGAGTGGCCATGGAAAACGTTCTCATTCTCATTCGGAACACGCTGATAACGGGACAAGCAAAAGAAGAAATTCTGGCGGCGGCGGTGGCGGTGGAAAGGAACATTTTTCAATTGACCCTAAAGACACGGTATATCGCTACCTGTGCCCTGGAAAGAACATAGGAAGTATAATTGGAAGGGGAGGGGAGATAGTGAAGCAGTTAAGGGCTGACACTAAATCGAAGATTAGGATTGGTGAGACGGTCCGTGATTGCGACGAGCGTGTTGTCACTATCTACAGCTCGAGCGAGGAAACAAACGATTTTGAAGGAACTGAAGATCGGGGGTGTCCTGCACAGGATGCCCTCTTCAAGGTCCATGACAGAATTGTAGGCGATGACATGTCAGTAGACGAGGAATCTGAAGATGGCCCACGTGTGACTGCTAGGCTGCTTGTGCCCTCTGATCAGATTGGATGTATTATTGGGAAAGGTGGGCAGATAGTTCAGGATCTTCGTAGTGAAACGGGCGCACAAATTCGAATCTTGAAGGATAACCATCTGCCTGCTTGTGCACTGACTTCGGATGAGCTTGTGCAGGTATGTGTATTGTGCCGTCAAAGGTTATTCCATTGTCTCACTCTGGTCTTG